ATGTGGTGCTGGGGGATTGAACCGCGGTCCCTGATGCTTTTGCTAAGCTTGTTCTAAGTAGGTGCTTTAGACCACTGAGCCATCTCTCCAGCCCCTTGAGAAATATTTCTGTAGGCATCTTTGTACATAAGTTTACTATAAAAGGTATGTTCAAGACAGGTTTCCAGAAGTGGCATTTATAAATAAAAGCAAATGTAAAGACTTTTGATACATGCAAAAGCATTTTTACATCGAGGATGCCCAGTGGGTCCTCATTCTGGTACTATTTATAGATAAAGCTAAAAACAAAAAGCACTGCGCATGTGTGTTAGTGATTCCGCCCGATTAGATAGACACTAAGAGTTCTCAAAAAGCATCCAAAGTTTTCACAAATCCATTTCAGTGACTTACAAAGGTAAAGAGCAAAGTAAATATACCTTGGAGGGGTTGGTGTTATTAAAGCTCCCTGAAGAGCAGAAGTGAGGAGTTGGAAGAGGGCACTTGGCCACCAACCTGCGGGGACAGACCCCTCTGGGCCTTCGATGTTTGTCAAACATTGAAGAAGAAGCAGAAAAAAGAGGCACTTTATAATCAGTGGGAAAACTCTGTGACTCAGACAAGGGCAGTGCGGGGGGCTGGGGGAACCCAGCGGCTGCAACCCGGGTTTTGGCCCAGGTGGCTGCAGAAAGCCAGGAGCAGCCACTCACACTGCTGACCTACAGGACGGAGAAGCAATTCTGCACGCACCTCCAGCACTAACAGGATAGCCTGGCTCTGAAACCTACACTGCAACTTGTCCGACAACTTGGGCAGGAAACATCCCAGGACTCGGAGCTCCCGGGGCCACGCGGCATCTGCCGATTCCTCCGAGAAGCAGGTCTCCACACTTCACCTGAAGAAAAGCAGTTCGTGGGTCAACTGGGCTTCTCCCCAGAGCCCAGAACCGTGGCTGCACAGGGTCTGGGTCTTCGTGGGGTCCCCGGCCCTGATAGGAGGAAGACTGCCAGGGAGTGGGCGGTGGCAACAGGAAATCAGGGCTACTGGGGGCTATGGGGACAGGATGCAATGACATGGGGCTGCATCCACAACGGGACAGACGCTCTGCTAGCACACAGACCGAGTCCCATGGGAGTAACAGGTAGCAGCAATTCGTTTGCATTCTTTTTAAGTAGGAATGGTTCTAATTTCATTTCTACTTTATTGAAAATTTCTGTTTTAATCACATCCGCTGTGACCAGCCTTCAATATTTTGAACTGTAAGTCTAACACCCTGTGCATAGTTTAAAGGAAAAAATTATGAAAATTATAGATTCGTAGATGAAAAATGATTAAAGCTACACATTTTTAATTCTCTAGTTCCATCTATAAGAGCCAACAGCTCGAGCATGGGACGCTCCCGCTAGCAGGTGCGAGGCCTGGGGGTCGGTCCCAGCAACACAAAACAAAATAACAAAGAGCAGTACTTGAAAAACCAAGGAAAAAAGCAAAGCAATAACCACTCTTGGTTCCTCAGTCTATACCTTCCAAAACACTCCTACTGAGGGCCAGGATTCGGCTAAAGCAAGGTGGATTCCTGCTTTCATCTGAAATCTTGAGCTGGGGAGATAGCTCAGCAGCATAAGTGACTGCCTAGCAGGCGCAAGGTGCTGAGTTTGATCCTTGATAAAAATCTAAAATTTTGAGACACTTGAAGGATCTAAATTTTTTTTGTCTGGAAAATCATTGTTTTGCATCGAGTCTGGCTTTGTAAACTTTGGCTCTAATACACTGTTTATTCTGATTACTGAGTTCACGGTGACCTCCCCACGTACTCTTCAGTAATGGCAGCAAAAAAAGCATGTTTTTGCTTAATTTATCACAAGCATCTTCCCTTCTATCACCATATTTTGTAATAAAATAATTAGTATATAGAATTTAACATATAATCTGAGAAGAGAACAAAATATTTGAAATTAAAACTGCATCAATACAGAACATCTTATCTGATACGCAGAGCTTACGCTCTGAGGGACCTAATTTGGACATCGCCGTAAGCAGTGCACTATCTCAGCATCAACTTCCACCAACAGGAATGGTTCCTCGGCTCCACCTCATCTTACAAGCAAGACCTGGAGTGACTGCCTAATGGCAGCCTAGGCGGAGGGAGAAGTGGAGCTGCTTCCCGCGCGGCCCGAGCCCTGCGCCTGGCGTCAGGGGCTAAGCGCTCCAAGTCTTCTCTCCCTTTCTTCCTCGTGGGGTCAGTCTCACCTTGGATATTTTTTTTTCCTTGGTGGTACCAAGGATCAAACGCAGTGAGGCAAGCACTTATTCCACCGAGCTACCTCCCCAGCCCCATGTCCAGGATTTTTCAAGCATGGACCCCAAGAAAGCAAGCACCTCTCACGCAGGGCAGGGGGTGAGAGGAGAGACTGTGCCCTCCACACAGCAGGACCCCCTCCCTCCTGCTTCCCTTAGTACTAACCGGCTGTGACACCTGCTGGAAACTTTGAGCTGTAGGGAAAGATAAAAAATTAAATCTCCTATAATTTCACCACCCAGAGATAGCCAACTGTATTTTTTTTGTAAAATTTATATACATTTCCTTTCGTGGTTTCTTGTGGAGAGTGTTTGGTTTGCTTATGAAACTGCGATTATAATTGCTATAAATTTCCCTCTACTTTTCTAAGTATGTTGCCATTATATTGAGCACATTTTCCATGCCATTGAATATTTACTTTTCAAATATACAAAAATATGACCGTAGTAGAGTCCTAGTTTGTGTAGCATAAATATATAATGATATCCTAACAAATAGTCTGTGTAAGACATTAAGTCTCTTGCAGTTTTTACTTTTATGTTTATCCAGAATCCAAAAAATAATACAAATAATTTACATTTAATATACAAGTAATTGGTCATTTATCTCTAAAAACTAAGCAGCTCTACACTGTGTAAGTTAAGAATTATGTATGTTCGTAGAAGTAAGTCTTTAGCTGCTCTTCGGTTATTGTCCTGAAATGTAAGGCAGGCCGCCTCCTGGCCCCAGGCAGGCCTCAATCCTGTGTGTGCCAGGCCCCACCACACTCACTTTCCCCCGCCCCAGAGAAGCATTTCTGAGCACTCTGGAGAGGGCCTTCTGGGCTGCCTGCACAAACTGAGCCTCGTAACTTCCAGCTGAGTTTGAGGGCTTTAAGGGCTACCAAGCCTCCTGTCGGAAGCTCATCAGGCCAGAGAGATACCACAGCAGACAAAGTGCCTGCTTGGGCAAGCTCAGGGACCAGGGTTCGATCCCGGGTCCCACCTGCTGTGCGGGCCCCCACCCTCAGGGCACGCGGGCACAGGCCTGTAATCCCAGTGCTGGGGAGGCTGAAAACAGGAGGATCACTGTGAGTCCAAGCCATGTATCAAGACCCTGTACCAAATACACAAATAAAAGAAAGAAAGAAACAACTCATCCAGTGAAGAAAACTCACCCATGACACACCTAACCTATGCAGCCTCAGCTGACAGGAAAGGCTGGCACGCCGCGCCTCTGAGAATTAAAAGCACACTAATTGTACATGAAACATGATGAAAATAGTAAAATACTGTTTTGCAAAACAACCAGAAGCCCTCATCTTGTAAATTGGATAAAGATCAATGATAAATATTTGGTCTATATGCAAAATGTTCCTATCGTTGTCCTTCTGCTACTTTTTATTATTTTAAAGAGGAATCAATCATATGTATTTGTTAGATTAATTGAAGGAAAAAATTATAAAACGCAAGTAGACAGGAAAAGACATCACCCAAGGGATGCACTACTCCAAGGTGATCATTAATAACTTAGAATGGGTGCAAGCTGTATCTGCACAAAATGCCTAGTTTTTTTTTTCAAAAGTAAAAATGTACTCTACGCACTATCTTTATGTCAAGAAGATTGTCCCCGTCTGCCTTGAGCAAGCGTCTCTGCTGCAGACCTGTCAGCCTGCTTCTCCGTTTCAGGCGTACCTCGAGAAGTACTACATGAAGAGAGGAGGGCACCAGGCTGGTGAGATGGTTTCAAGGAGTTCCATGGCCAGGAGGATCAAGGACCTGCAGGCGTTTCTCGGCCTCCGCGTCACTGGGAAGCTGGACCAGCGCACGATGGACACCATCAAGCAGCCTCGCTGCGGAGTCCCCGACGTGGCAAACTACCGCCTCTTCCCAGGTGAACCCAAATGGGAAAAAAATACTTTAACATACAGGTAATGAGATATAGCATTCCAGATTCAGAGAGGTCTTAGTCTCTCTGTCTCTCTGTCTCTCTCTATCTCTCTATCTCTCTCCCTTAACTTTTGAAGATACCTTCCTCTGATCTCCATAGAACTCATGACTCCCCGTAACCAGAAAAAGAATAAGAACATGATGATAGTGGATAATTCACTTGAGAATAACCTCTCAGGATTAGCTCAGTGACAGGCCATTTTAGGCGTTACAGATTATTTTACAGTTAAAAATGACATTAATATCTAAAGAAAAGTCATCCAATGTAGGATTAATAACAGTACCAACCATTTTTCTTAAAAGCTTCTGTTCAGTAAGAAAAATAAAATACACTCATTAACAAATTATGTTTTCATTGACTCCAAAAAGCAATTACTGATAATTTGTTATCTACCACAGACATTCAACCTGGGCACTATACAGGTGAATAGAACACATTTCCTGATGTTGGAGAACTCACAGTCCTTCAGGGAAGATAGACATGCAAAGAGACAGTTGTCACTCCTAATGAAAAGAGGAGAGCACAGGTCTGAGCAGAGAACTCCTACAGTGCACAGGGGCTTGGCGGAGGTCCAAGTTATCAGGGGTGGGTCAGTGACATCAGGAGCCCATCTGAAGGCAAAGTCGCAGTCTTACTTCCCTCCTGGCTGTCCCCACCCCCATCTGCTGGTGTCTTCCTGTTTAGACCTCCTGGCTGGCTACACTCAACCTGAGCCTTTGTCCTTGCTCCTTATGCTCTGGGTATCAAGGCCAGGGCTCCCAATCCAGCAGCCTGAGCCCGTTTCTGGGGCCAGGCAAGACCCAGCCATTCGCTAATCACCTGCTGGCTGTGTCACCCACCATGGCAGCCACTCAGCCTGCGGGCCTGGACACCTGTGTGTGTGGGCCTTGCTCATTTCAGATGGATGAAGTTTGGAAGAGAAGAGAGAGTGGCCTCTGTTTATAGTTGTGCCCTGGGTCTGGCAAGTGTTAGGGGGTTGCCAAGTAGAAAAGTGGATGGAAATGCCTGTCCTGTTGGGCAACAGGTGCCCAGCCAGTGCCAGTGCCCTGGGACCATCATGCACTGGGAGAGAGGTGCAGTTAGGAAACACACAGCAGGAAAGAGGCCGCAGGGTGTGACGCCGGGAAGTCTGGACCTCAGTGGCAGACCATGCACTGTGAGGCCCGCACAGAACCGGACTGCACGGCTAGACTGAGCAGCTCTGCACAGTGTGGAGATGAGAGAGAGCTCCAGCTCTTTGCAAGGGGCTAAGAACTGGTGCGCTACAGCCGGGGCCTGGCCACTCGCGGAGCCAGTCTTCACAATGTCAGGAATTGTTAAATTGTTGTTAAATTTTTATGACCACTGAGAGCCTGGCTTCTGGGATATAACCATGATTTGAAGTATGTACATTTACAAATAAGTTATATTTTAAAGCAAAAGCCATCAAATCACGTCACTCTCTACTTTGCCACATTTTATTGGTTACCGATATTCACACCTCTGTGCGCACCCACCTCATCCGTGAGGCAGAAATGCTGCGCAAAACTGGGCGCCTGCTGACACTTCTCAACGCTGCGAGAGCAGCCGCAAGTTCATAGCCGGACCTTAGCCCTAGTGCAAATGTGTATGACCCAGAAAGCAGCGAGCCACGCTAATCAGGAGAATTTCATGGTCCAGGAGAAACGGTTAAGTTGTTCTAGGCCCCCCGTGACGCTGAGGGCCGAGGACTCGGTCTTCTTCCTTTGTCACCCGTCATGCACTTACAAAGCCAGAAGGCGGCGCCCTGAACAAAAGAATCAAAGAGCTAGGCCGAAGGAAAAATGTCATGAGCTGAACACGAGTGTTTATGAAACTTCAAAGTTGAGACAAGAAAAATGTATGTGGTAAGTTCATGGAGTCTTTTCATGGTTTTTTTAATCTGTGTCCTAGGATTGTAGGCCTGCACCCAGCTACAAGGTTCAAGGTAAAACAAAGTTCAGTGTAACACAGGAGAGCCTGCTGTGGTAGTGCAGGCTTGTAATCCCAGCCCTGGGGAGGCAGAGGCAAGAGGGTTGGTTCGAGTTTGAGACCAGCTGGGGCTACAAAATGAGCTCAAGGCCAGCCTGATTGAATAGCAAGACCCTGTCTCAAAAAGACCAAAAATTAAATTAAAAGGATAATAGAGCTTTTGGAGTGGTAGATCAGTTTGCAGTAAGTCAACCAACCCCAAATCCCCCTGTGCTCCATACTGCCTATCTATTCATGGCTCTCAAACAAGCCCCCGGTCCCCTCCTGAGCCCAAAAGACACTAGAGAGCACCCCCATGCTCTGTCTGTCTAGCTCCTGGGTTTCAGAATAACTTAGCAAAACCCGGATAATTTAAAAGAAAAACTAGCATAGTGCCTATGTGCATAACCTTTGAAGTTGGACGGAGCTGGCCTCAAATCCTGGCTAATCACAGATGTGTGTGGTAAAGACAGTGATTATCTCCTTCTCGTGGGCTGTTCGAGAGCTAAATAACAGCATAATAGAGTGCTTAGAACCATGCTCAGCGCATAGGTGTCCTCAAAGAATACTAGCAATGATTGCTGTTGCTTTTTCCAATCAACAGACCTCGGGTCAGAATTTTATCCACTTTCTCTTCCCTTTCTGGGGCTACCCTTCTCTCTGCCTGTGTCTTTTCCAGCTCAGTGCATACTCAGCCCAAAGAAATGGCTGACTTGTACACAATGTGAAGAAATTTCAAGGTACGGGACTACACAGTTGAGTGAAATCACAGGTATTGCAAAGTGAAGGAACGTATTTGGAAAGTGCTAAATAATCCCTTTCATGGTCTTTCTGGTCTCCTTGGGCTCCATAGCTTTCTCCTTTAGCCCCAACTTCTGGATTAAAGAGATCTTTCCCCTCCGTGTTCTAAATTGAGCTACTTACCATCTTCCCTGTGGGACCTGACCCTTCTTTTTTGGACCTCGGTGTTGCCTCTGTTGGTTCCAGGTTGAAATTGTAGCTTCTGCTTCAGGCTGACCTACAGTGCCCGCTACAGGGCATGTGTCGGGACTGGACCTGCATGTCTTAGCAGCTCCCCGGGGGGCTATCACAAACCCAGAGGTCTGAAAGCCACCAAGCAGTCCCTAGACAGCTAGCTTTTATTTTTTAATTGTCAAACATTTCTTGAACATTTGCTAGATTGCAAGGATGGAGCAGGGGTGAGAGAAAGAAAGGACACGGGCTTGGATCTGCTCTCACTGTCAGCTCAGAGACCCTGTCTCTTATTTGCACGGGCTCTTGCAGCCCAGCCCGAGGTCCCAGGGGGCACCCTCCACCTTCTTTGCCTGCTGCCAGGAGCCCCAGCCCTCGGCTTCGGAGCCCTGGGAGGGCCAGAAGCACCACTGTTTCCACCCTGTATATCCAAAAAGCGCTGTATCTGTGGGCCTTCAAATGTGTAGTCACACCAGACCTTCTACAGTGCTCCAGGGAGCACCCTTTCTTGCAGCCAGCACTTCCTCTTTCTTTCAGAATACAGTATCTTAGGACAAACATTCCCCAACAGGTCTGGGGAAAACCTGCTGGCCCTTGAATGAGAATTTGTAAAACCTCAGAAGTGTACATTTGTATTTTTTGTAACTGAAAAATTTTAGTCTCTTTTGAGGAAAAACAGGGCCTTTCAGTTATAAAACCATTTTAGGAAGCTAAATGTCCTACTCATTGTAACTGTTCACAGGGGCCGCTCTTGGCAGTTGGTGGCAGTGTAGTCACAATGAAGGCCTAGTTCTCTAAGCACGGGATTACCTCAACAGTCTCATTTCCCTACTTAATGTGCTAAACCTGTGGCTACATATATGCAAAAAAGATCATTTGGAAGAAAAATAACTGAATTACAGATTTATGCTCAGTCTTTTGGTTTTTAACGCAACCTCTAAGCAGTGTTCGCCTTCCCCATTTCAGAGCGTTCACTGGAAAGAAAACATGCTTCTTCTCTTTTCCTTTCACAGGGTTGCCAAGTACGCGGCTTCCATGCGGCCCGCTGAGGTGGACAGAGCGATAGAGATGGCACTGCGGGCCTGGAGCAGCGCGGTGCCCCTGAACTTCGTTAGGATACACTCCGGAGAAGCAGATATTATGGTATCTTTCGAAACTGGAGGTACTGGTGATTCCTGTATTCTGCCTACTGAAGCAAGGAAGAGCCACCTCAATACCGTTCCTTCCCCATCTTTAATTTAAGTGACTAGCATCATCCTCCATTACTCGGGGCTGGGATGGGCAGAGGCCAGGACTTGGGCAAACTCATGTTCTTCACCCACCAGGCCTCAAAATGGAGGGAAAGGGGTTCTTAGAATTTCTCCATACTCACTAGGACAGACTCACCATAACAAGCTTTCCATGTGCTTTTGTCACATTTGGGGACAAATTCTGTCAGGTTTGACTTTCTCATGGACGAGGAGGCCATCTGACCTCTTCCATTCCCAGGGTAGTACTGGGCCCCATCACCTCTTTCATACCAGCCAAGAAGCCCATCTTGGGTCCTCACTAAAGGAAGTAGGTTCCACAGAGACCCCAAAGCAGCTTTTTTCCTGCAGTCTCAGCTAGGAAAGCGGCTACCTTTGGGGTGCATGGCAGTTGAGATTCCAACTCGGTCCCCTTCTCAGTCCCCCACTCACCAAGGGAGCAGTGCAGAGCTCTGAGCCCTTTTCAGGGAACACCAGGCAGGAAGTAGGTATGGAAGGGCCACCCAGCCATGCCTTCCTTTGCCTCCTCAACTTCCTAGCTACTAAGTTAAATGAGAACCACTGCCTCTGCCTCTCCACAGACAGCACGTCTAGGAATCTCGGCATTTCAATCCTGACCTTAATTTAATGTGATGTCTCTGTGGGAAAACATCCTGAGGAGCTAGGAGAGAGAAGATCAAACAAATCTTGAGTCCAGGCAGCCCTTTTGGAAAGGCCCTGTCCCCTAACACAAAGGCTGGCTAGGCCCCTGTTGCCCTGACTCTGCAGGCTATGCAACCTGAGAAATGGTGTACCTAAACTCTGTCTTGTTTAGTTTTTAGAAAACTGGGCATCTTCCCCAACATTCTGAAAAGTTGTGAAATGTAGCTTCTAGCCTACTGCTCATTCTGTCTGTCTGCCTTCCCTCTTCACTAACTGTTAATTAAAATCCAGACAGTAATACAAAAAGACCATGGTACTGGTACCTAGGTTACAAATGCCTTTGTTTGCAGAAGATTCAGTGCACAGGTGGATTTGGCAAAATTTTGTTTTTGTCTGCAAGCTCTGCATCAGTGGCCGTCTTTTCTAATTCATACAACCAATTAAGTTCTGAGGTACTACTATATATAAAGCTTCAGAGGTTAAGGTTTTCCTTTATTACTTGCATCCGTTTTATACATGTGGGCACAATAAAGTTACAGAGATTATTTTCTTTTTGATCCTTCCTTAAATTGAATTCTATCAAGTGATAGAAAGAAGAACCATAGGCTCGCCCCATTTACTACCGCTGCCTCGGCTTGGCTGTATTCTGAAAGTTCTCCTGCCAGCAGGTTCACATACTATCAGAAGTCCTCCTGAAGGCCAGCGAGACAGCTCAGCAGACTAAGCTCTGGCTTAGGCAAGCACAGCGACCAGGGTTTGATGCCCAACACCACGAGCCATGCCAGCCACGCCCCCAGGGGCGCTGAGCCGGTCACTGGGTACTGGATAGTGGCGCGTGCCTTAATGTCAGTGCTAGGGAGGCTGAAAGCAGGAGGACCACTCTGAGTCTGCGCTGTGTAGTGAGACTCTGTGTCACATACATATAAATAAAAAATAAAACCAAGGTCCTTCTGTGGTTTCTCTTTTTGTAATGCATGGCAGATCTATAATCCAGAGTATGCTGTGCATGCTGGTTAAAAACAAGAAGAACGTTTTCTAATTTTAATGCTATCAGTGAAGTATAAAATAGTCCCTTCTGGTTTTTCAGCGGGCATGCCTTGATAACGGAGCTCCTCACTCTACAGCAGTTAGCACCAAAAGTAAATTCAAACATCAGTGCTGCTCACAATGTCCTTTCTCTGCACCTCTGAAACGCGAGGACGTGACCGTGTTGGCATTTCCTGTTGTTTAGATCACGGGGATTCCTACCCTTTTGATGGTCCTCGGGGGACTCTAGCCCATGCATTTGCACCCGGAGAAGGCCTGGGAGGAGATACGCATTTCGACAATGCGGAGAAGTGGACCTTGGGGATGAATGGTATATATGCACAATTCACCATGACCTGGAACATATTGTACTTCTCCTGGGCCTCCACCCTGACACCTTGAGGTTCAAGGTCCCAAGCCACCCTTTAATTGGGGGGGGTGGCTAGGAAAATCAAGTAAGCCAAAAATCCACAGCGGAGCACACCCTAAGGGAAAAGGCCCGCCCGAGCTTATACCGTAGCCTTGTCTGGTGATCTGTTTCACAGCATAGAATCTCAGAGTCTGGCAAGCCTCTCCCCAGCGCACAACTTTCATTGTTTATTTATTGTTTCTTGCTAGTGCTTGGGGGAAAGCTACATTCAGAAATGACTCAAGAGAATCAGTATAGCCTGAGAAATACTGTGGGGACAGGTGTGAAGATTCCAGAGTAACATGCAGGTCATCTAGAAATCTTCAATGTGAGACATGTGCATGAAAAGCAGTAGGCCGTTGGGGCCGGGGAGACAGCTCAGTGGAATAAGCGCTTCCCTGGCAAGTGCAAGGGCCTGAGTTCAATCCCCGGTTCCGAAAAAAAAAAAAAAAAAAAGTGCTATGCTGAAAAGCAGTAGGCCGTGATAGCAGAAAACTACGCAGGCATCAGTGGCCCACATTTGTGTAGTACTGCAAATCCCTTTGCCACTGCTAGCTCTAAGGCCCCCCTTTATCAAGCTATCGAGCGCCTTCCCAAATGCCAATGGGAGGAAAAGAACTAGACTGGAGTCAGCAAAACTAAGTGTCAGAATAGCTGGCCAAACTGTGAATGGTCTAGAAGATTTGGACGTGAGTTCCCCTGTAAAGACAGGCAATGGAGAAAATCTAACCCTGAACTGATGCTGTCATTCTTTCTCATGTTGTTTAGGTTTCAATTTGTTTACTGTTGCTGCTCACGAATTTGGCCATGCCCTGGGCCTGGCACACTCCACAGACCCATCTGCACTGATGTACCCAACTTACAAGTACAAGAATCCCTATGGGTTCCGCCTTCCCAAGGACGATGTGAAGGGGATCCAGGCATTGTACGGTATGACGACTGTGCTTCTTTGATCACTAACCCTGAAAGTGGCAAGCGTTCAGTCTCCAACTTAGAGTTCCTTTTTCCAGGAGTTACCTGCTTAGGCAATCATTACACTGTAGCCCTCAGCCCCTGTGATTTTTTTGGGCGAAGAACTTGTTTGCCAGTTACAAATATTGCTTTCTTTTTTGTTTTCTAATATAGACAATCAAATTTTGCATCTTTCCTCCAAAACAGTCTGACCTTGACTGGACACAGAACATAGTCATTTGTTCTTCCAATAGGTCAAAATGTACACAACAGAAGAACATGGATATATTTTATAGTTCATGTATACCACATTTACCCATGTACAGATAAGTGGCCTTAGCTTCCTTAAAATAGCCTTGGTGATAATTAAAACTCCACCACTCAAGAGTACATATAATCTGTACTTCATAGAACATGATCACATGTGTCATCACATGCCACCCTTGAGACAAGTGTTTGAGACAAGGAAACACCCTTGAAGTGTTTCCCTCATTTGATAACTAAGAAATGTTATCAAATGTTTTGAGGGTCAAAGACAGTTAAGTATGCTAGGATATTCAAAATTTTCTCAAGTGTTAACATTCTTTTGAAAGGTAAAAAAGGATAATTAGAAATCCTATATCCAATTTTCCTAAAGGGCAAAACAATGCATAAGAAGGGATCTTGAAATATCCTTGTAGGTTGACAATTTTTCTTTAGTGAGTGAAAAGGCAAGAAAAGAAATGTAGGGGACTTATCCACAGGCCTTGCAGGTCCTTCAGCCTCTGCTCGCAGAACCTCTGCCCACCCTCGCAGCCTAACAGGCCACATCTCCCAGTGGCTTCCTGCCTACCTGCAGGCCGACCAGCTAAGAGATAAGAACCTCTGCAGACAGATGTTGCCCAAGACACAAAATACAGAATTAATCCAAAGAAGCCTTTGGCAAGCTCTAATCTCCAGAGAGGTTAGGGACCATTTCTGTTGTGCTCTAAGGAACAAGATAATGTTAGGAATGTCTCAATTTCACAAACTCTTCATATCAGTTATTTAAGTACCTGCATGGGCAAACCCAGTCAGGCTTGCAGGACTGTGGTTCAATCCCCAGCTCCCCATGCCTTAAAAGACCTGCCCTTAAAGCAGCCTGAGCCAGCCCAAAAAAATAAAAAATAAAAAATAAATAAAATTTTAAAAATCCTAAACAGACTCTTCAGAGCATCCATGGCGCAACTCAGTGGCTCAGTTCTCCTGCACCACCAGAAGGGTCAGGTGCATGTCCTTGTCTGATGCCAGCATTACCAGGCCAGGAGCCAAAGCCCATATTCTGACACGCTCATTTAGGTACAAGGAAGCAAAAGGCAGAAAGATGGCCTGCGTTGCCAGGAAGGACAAACATGAGCTCCTCCTTCCCCGCCTGATCCCCACTGTGCTTCCAGGTTTCTACCTTTCCCCAGAACCTCACCTCTGAGCCTCATCCCTCTGCGGACCCCTTCTCCGCCTCCATCTCAGTCTGTTTCTGCTCTGCATCAGCCCTGGACTCTCCCCTTTCCTCATTCCTTCCCTGACTCTCACCTCTGGCCACCACTAGCTTCATCTGGGAGCTGGGGTCATCCAAGGACAAGGACTACAGTAGCCCTGGCTCGATCTCCCATAGCAGGCAGAGGTACAGCACAGGCGCAGGCCACCAGCACCCCCAGGAATGGGGTCGCGCTGTCCCAAGCAGATCCGCTAGAAGAGCCTTTCCACAGCAGGCGTCCTGTGGTCTCCAGCTCCATGCAGTCTGTCCTCAGAGCCTCCAAAAAGGGTTGAATGCCAAAGACTGCACAGAAGAAAATAGGTGTGCAAGTTCCAGTCTGCATAATAAAAATAACTTAATTACAAGGAAATAATTAAAGACAAATTTTAATTACGTTGTATTTCTAATTCAGAGAACCTGCAGCCACCAAGGAAGTTATTAACAATAAAAGAACAGCAACAATTCTTTAAACATTTACTATGCGTCAAGCTTTACAGACATTATTCAATTCTTGCAACACTCTTTGAAAGTAAATCCTGTAATTACCATTCCTATTTTACAGCTGAGGAAGCTGAAACATTAAAAAGTTAATACATTTGTCTTAAATCACACAACTCACCAACTAGGGAAGCCAAGACTCCAAGTCCTGTCTGTCCCAGTCAGCCATCTCTTTATGACATCATATGCTAGAGACCACTGCATAGTCGCCCTGTCAAGATCTGAATTTTTAAGACTGTACTTTACGTGGCCCACTCCTGGGGGACCTCACTGGAGATAACACTGCTGTCCTAAGTTAGCTTAGTGTCTTACCTGGAGAAGGCCTGAGCCCGCTTCCCAGGTCCTTGGATGGCCCTGCCACTCAAGGCAGAGTCCTGCCTTTCTTCAGGATTCCCTGCCTTGTTTTGATAACTAAAAGGCTGCCTCGGCTGCCAAGAGAAGTTCTTGGTCCTAACCCAGAGAACTGTGACTTCCATGAGAGCTTTGCTCTCCTCAAAGCCTGCTATCATCCCATTCGTCTCATCTATGTAAGCCTTTGCCATCCACTCATTTGAGATTGTGGGTCTGATCAGTCTGCAATAACTAGAGATGTTATTAACATGATATTCACGTAGAGAGTGAGTGGGCACGAGCATCTCTAGAGGAGAAATGTACGCACTCAAAGGTCCTGGTATGAGTGTGACCAAGATGTGTTAACTCCTAGGACCTCGGAAACCATTCCTGGGAAAGCCTATGGGTCCTCACTTACCTCCTCACAAGCCATCCATCCCCGATGTCTGTGACTCCAGCTCGTCCTTTGACGCTGTGACAATGCTAGGAAAGGAGCTTCTGCTCTTCAAGGATCGGTAAGCCGGGCACACACCAGCTGCTCCTGTTGGGCCTCAGTTCACCTCCCCCCAACCATCACCCAGAGGCCCTTGTTCTGCCCTGCCTGTAGATCATGCAGACATGGTGTCTTTAGTGGCAGTAGTGTGGGCAGCAGGAAGTCTTTGGATACGTCTAGAACTGGAACTCGTGTTTGTGGAGCACCTGCTATGGCTGTGGTGCTGGGCTGGGTTCCCTCCATGCATGTGCAGTATTTCTTCTAGCCTTTATTTCTTCTAGCCTTTCTTCACACAGAAATTAGAATCTCCAATTTACAAAGGCAGAAAGTAGCTCAAAGAGAACAAGCATATGTCCCAAGGTGACAGTTAAGTGGCTGAGCTAGGATACCAAATCCAAAGTCTGTGATATCTGCCTTGTTTACTACTACGTGGTTAGTAAGAGCACTTAGTAAGTACCCAGTAGATATTTGGTGAATGAATGTTGGCTACCTGAATAGTTGAGCATACAGGAGAATGGATGGATGGATGGATGGATGGATGGATGGATGGATGGATGGATGGATGATGGATACATGGATGGATGGATGGATGGATGGATGGATGGATGGATGACCAGATAGGTAGATAAGTGAGTAGATGATTCTAAGGTAAGCGCTCATCCTAAACACCTCTGTTCCAAGGCCTCTCAGCTTTTCCCCTGCCAACTATCAGAGAGCACAGAGAAAACAGATGCCATTCTCCCCACACTCTGGCTTTTCGGGGAGTACAACTGCTGTCTTCCTGCACTGGGAACTCTAATTACTATTTTCTAAGGAGAAAAAGAGAAACAGCAACTCTCACCTGTATTTCTCCCTTTACCAGAGACAAAGTTCAGTCACATCAGAGAAGAGAAGCTCAGGAATATGTGTGTGTGACATGTTTTCCCTTTGCTGGAAAAGTGTTCACTGAGCCTATATTGGGTACCAACCGCTCTTGCAGTGTCTACAGACATAGACAGATTGGTACCCAGTCTGCCGTTGCATACCTCATCTTTGCATGAGAAAGGACATTCAAAAAGCCTTGCAAAACAGTGTGGCACATGCTATGGAAGTAGGATGTGAGATGAAAAGCAGAGAAAAAGCCCCTGGAGACACGGGGGAAGGCTTCCAAAGGAGAGGATGTTGGGAAAGCTGTATGTTTGTTTGGGGAATAGATCTTTCAGCTGTTGTTACAAGAACAGTCATGTTCATTCAGAAGAAAAAGGAAAGAGTAAGAAAATATTAAAGAGAAATCATAATTTTCACAGTCTTATACCCAAAATACTTGGTATGCCAGAATACCCCAGATTGGCTAGTTAAGACAGAAATTTCTCGCACTTCTAGAAATCTAGGGTCAAGGGCCGGGGAGATGGCTCAGTGGAATAAGCACTTCCCTGGCAAGTGCAAGGGCCTGAGTTCAATCCCTGGTTCCACACACACACAAAAAAAAGAAAGAAATCCAGGGTTAGCGGGCTTCCAGGGTAGGTTCACTCTGAGGCCTTTTCCTTTGGTTCCCTGCGGGCCACTACCTTCCACTGTGCTCACGTGATCTCTTCCTGAGCACAGAGATGGGGAGAGCAAGCCAGATTCCTGGCACCTCTTCTCTAAGGGCGCTAAATGCCGTCACTAGTGCCACTCCCTCATCATTCACTGTAGCCCGAGTGTTTCCCCAAAGCCCATCTCCACACACCACCAGAATGGGAATAGCGCTTCAACACAGGAGTTAGGGCAGACGCGAACAGCACACACTGACACAGTGGCTAAGCGCGCTGCAGTGCACCGCCCAGGCCTGTTCTCTGAACTGAAAGACCTGAGATGTAAATAAGAGACAGCGGCAGGATTTCACAAGAAGAAAAAAGATTTTACTAGTTTTGCTGATTTATAAAATTCTTTCCCTCAACAATATTTCATTTAAAAAATTTTCATTTGAATAAATTTTAACTTTCATATATTATTATTACAGTGAGTAGACACAGCATTACTTTTTTAACCAATTCCATACTTACGAACATCTATATTGTTTCCAATTTTTTTAAAGTAGGAACATCTTGAACTAATTCTTCAAAAACAGATAGGTATTTACTTTTGAAAAAAGCAAATCAGAGCAGACTCAGGAGCCCAGGATTTCTCCTCAGTGGGCCTGAACCCTGACCCTCTTACTGAGGAGGTGGCCTTGGGCGAGTAGTACTAGAGACGCGTGGACAGGGTACGGTAAATGGTAGTCACTAATTGGAGGAGTGGGAATAAAAACCATATGTACTGTGCCATGATAGCCTAGAGACAAGTTAGGGCATTTAGAGAGCCCAACTGATTTCTTCTTATTATTTATACTTACTGATTTTTTTAATTTTTGAAGACTATCGTTGACGTCATTTCTATTGACTATTCTTGTCAGCCTAAAATAACCACAGAGAGAAAGCCTCTCTATGGAAATAGCACATTGACTCAGGAACAGAGTCACGAAGGGACATGTAACCTGGGACGCTCTTGCGGCAGCAAATCCCAAGGGCATCCGAGGAGGCGGGAGGAAGGGAAGGAAGGTGTGTGACGCGAAGTCGGCCAGTCATGGAGGCTCCCTGCCGAAGCTGGATATTACTCACTCATAGCACTGACTGCTGCTCTGTCTGTGGAGCAGCAGCAGGCCTGCAAGGGGCTTGTGCTGTCAGAGGATTCCCGGAGGGCTTCTTGGCTCCGACACACAAGAACAAGGTCGCCTCCCTGTGAGCACCCAGCTTCGTACTGGCTTGCATCTCACACAAGTGACTACGTCTTGGTATTAGCAGCTTTTACTTTTCAGAAAAATAAACCAAGCAGAACTGATAGTCAGTGGCCGAGGGGTGGCAAGCAAGGGGTAGGACAGATAGAGCGTGGGACACGAGGCCAGGAGCTCGACCTTCGCCGGAGCTGCCGCTGCCAGACACGGAAGCTGCAGGCAGCACTCAGCAATGCAGACACGCAGCGTGCATGGGCTAGGCTGTGCTTCCGTAGGTCTGAGGGGCTGCGTGGGCTGGGCTGTGCTTCCGTAGGTGTGAGGGGCTGCGTGGGCTAAGCTGTGCTTCCGTGGGTGTCAGTGGCTGCGTGGGCTGGGCTGTGCTTCCCCAGGTGTCAGGGGCTGCGTGGGCTACGCTGTGCTTCCGTAGGTGTCAGGGGCTGCGTGGGCTGGGCTGTGCTTCTGTGGGTGTCAGGAGCTGCATGGGCTGGGCTGTGTTTCCGTAGGTGTCAGGGGC